TGAAATTAAAAGCTATTACAGTGGAAAGACAGAAGGTTTGCTCATGTAGAATTTATTTCCTGGTGAAAATAGAAGCAGAACAAAATTAAAACAGAAACTCTAGTTTCTAATTCTTTCTGAGCTATGGACTAAAAGCACTACTGAGTTATGAAAAAATATTTTGAATGATTTAAAAAAAAAAAAGGAAAACCTATTCTTTTTTGTGCATTTGCTTGCTTGACACCTTTTGCTTCTCATTCTTAGTTATGCAGTCTTCAAAATTATGGTGCTGCCTCTACTGCTGGATTGATGCAACTCTTTAATGCATGGTATTATCTTTGTAAATACTAAATGTGATATGTACAAAGAAATTAAAAACAAAAGCCTTAGTTTTCCAGTCTAAGAGCACAGGACTTCACATAATGCAAAACAACCTTAAATTTTTTACTTAATGGAAATAATTAAGGAAGTATTTCTGCTGTCTGCTGAAATTCTGTCCGAGTGTTAGCCAGATAAGGTGGATAGTCCTCCTCTTACAGTAATCTCTGCCTCACTGGTGTAAGCTCAGGTCTGTGACAGACATACAGTAGGTTGTTACCACCTCCAGCCCACCAGGCTTTTTGTCTGCTTGTGAATCAGCTTTGGAACCATTCCAGTTTTCAACTAGTGCATCACATTGGTTAAATAAATTTTGCAGATAGAAAACTGAGCAGCTTAGGAGATGGTTCAAGAGTGTATCAAATAGCTCTGTCTTGAAGGCAGCAGTGTTCATTATGGCAAGGACAGTTGGAGTTAAAATTTGGTCTGTTACCACGTGTCTTTTGGAACCTACAATAACAGAATTTAATGGTAGTGTTAGATGCTAACTCAGTTTCCTACCCAGCTTCTGCTGGAACTGGGTAGCAGAGGATCACACAGATGCAGTCAATTTTTGGGAATTACAACTTCTATTTAGGTAGAACTGAGACCAAATAGTGCATCATACTGACAACTGGGAAGAGATGGCTTGATAAAAGAGTTCTACATGCAAAGTACTCCCTATTATCAGTGTGTCTTATGTGGTTTTTATATAGAGCTAAAAGTGTGGGTTTGATAAGCTGTACAAACAGTGAAAATTAATTATGATGTATAATGTATTGTAATGGTTTTCAACTCCTTGATCTTTCCTTACTCAGCTGAGCCCTGAATTTTTCATTTACTTTAAACTGCTGCTAATGCATGTGTGGCATTAAATTAGGTTAGAAAGCCTATACCCACAGAAAAAGGGGAGTGGAAATATGAATTTTTCTCAGCCATTTGGTATAAAGAAAAGTGTGGGACTGTATTCCCATTAGATAAAAGAATTAGGAAACTGACTTTTTAAAGAGGAAAGATAGGAAATGAGAATCCTGCCTTTAACAAAGGGAAATAGCATAGGTGGTCTTGTCTTTACCCACCCCTTATTAGCTTTAGAATTCAGCTTTAGGGACAACATTTAGAAGATGGATGCTCACCGGCTTAGCCGGTTCCTCAGTCTTAAAACCTAAAGACACTTTTAAGAATTCTCAGTCACTGCCTGTCTGATAGGAGGAATCTTGAGGTGTGTCAGATACTGTATGAGGAATAATTATTGTTTCATCTTTTTGTGTTTATGATCTAGTTTCCATGATTGTAATAATTTTGCTCTACTAAATGAAGATGTAACGTTTCCACCGTTGCCAGGTGTGAAACGTGAGTCTAGCTCAAAGTAATAAACCCAGAGAGTTTATCTAGAGATAGTGAACTGAGTTAAAGCAATGTGATTGCCTCCTCCCTAGGCTCTCCAATTAACCAGTAGTCTTAGAGAAGTTCGCGAGTGTAACATCTCCCATGAATCTGCAACTGACAGCGTGCTTAGGAGAAATAGTTCACGTTTGTAGGAACCCCCCATTTCCTATATTTTATATAAGGCATTGTCACAGGTTTCCAGTGCAGGGCTACCTTCAAAAAACCATGGTATTACATTAAGAAGTACCTGTATGTGTAGAAGAATCCTTCTTGCTCACTGGATCTGCTTCATATACGTATTGCTTCAGAATAATCTCTTTTAACTTTCATTTGAAGACTCTAGTGATAGTAATCAAATCTGAGAGAGTTCTGACTTCCAGATCACTGTTTGAGCTAATTACATTAGAAGAACCTTTTTAAATGTAAACTGATCCAAATGGGTATGGTTTTGTGGAAGATCTGCAAAATAACTCACTGTTTCCTTTGAGACTTTTAGCATCAAATATATGACGAATATGAAAGAACTGTAGCCTTCGTTGAAATTACCTTCCTTATTCTGATAAAGAAACTGACTCATTGTGATCCATATGCCCCTTATCACTAACACAATTCCTGGCACTGAAAGTGAAGTATTGTAGAAATTATTTTTTTCTGCAGAAAGTAAGATTCTAGCTTTTAGGGACTCTTCCGTAATTTCCCATTTGTGCCTGTGCCAATCTGGGGTTTGTCTGTTTCAAAAGCTTTCCTCTATTATTTGAAAAGGAAAAAAAAAAGGTAACAGTAGTTGCCATAAATAAATTAGAATTAATGCAAAATAAATTATGGTGTTAAATGTGGAAAAGCTGAAGAACAGAATCCATTACTGAATGTTTTGAGAGCTGTTAATGGATCTCTGCAATGAAGGCAACACCTGGATGTGGTGGTTGCTCCCAGAACCTATGACTGACAAGAAAAAATCCCTACTAAATTTCAAGTGAAGAAGCAGAGAAGGACTGATTATTTAATTTGTCATGGAAAGGAACATAGATGTGATCCATTTTAATCAAGGGTGTCCGTGAAATTCACAGGAGTATTCAAATGTAGGCTTCACCATCTTTAATTACAAATGCAGTCTATAACTATATGCTCCAAAAACGCAATAGATTCTGATGGTTGGCTTAATATGTTGCCTTTAATGACTGAAAAATGTGTCTGTTAAGCTATTTTCTCAACAAAAGAAATTCAGTTTGCTTTAAAGGAAACTTAGTTGCTGCTGTAGCAGGTTTTTTAGGTGTGGGATCCGGAAGACAATAAGCAATGTTTCTGCAAGACTCTTTTTTTTAATTGTTGGCAGATGAGCTCCTATAGGAAACACTTGGGGGTGCCTACAAGCAAACAAACATGATTAGCAGTGGCAGAGAGGGATTTTATTTAAAAATCCAATGAATCATTCAGGGAGTTGCTATTATTGCCTTTTTGTCTTTTCTCTACATGAAAGTGCAAGTTTAGCAACAGAGTAAAGTTTGCTAGAAAATTCCTGATTGGGCAGTATGGGCATGGCACATGATATAGCTATTATAAAGTCTTGACACTTCTGACAGCATCCAGATAATGACGGCTTACAGAGAAGGCATGTAAGGTTAAAGCAGCTGCAGAAGTAAGCTCTGTACCCAGCGCTGTACAGGGGGGAAAAAATACAGTTTGGGTTGTGATATAATCACAAGATTTAAGGTAGTAACTAAATTGTCTATCTTGCCTGAACACAAAATGTATTAAACTTTACAAGAATGTGCAAAATGTTAGATAATCTATTTATAGTACCTGGTGTCAGAGAATCTGTTCATATTAAGAACATCCAGGAAAATATTCTCCACCTTAACTAACCCTGGTTCAGCTCTCTTTAGTACCACTCTAACAGACATTGATTATATGGCCCTTTGAATGCTTTTTAAACACCTTGCCGCATAATCCTATTGAGAGATGGTTTTAATTGATAGCGTTCCTGATGGCTACGGCAGCTTCTGAAACACTTATGATAACTCTCAATATTGCTTGTCTTGGTAGAAAAGAAGAAATTATGCTCATATTATAGGGAGAGACTGAGGTGTTTTCTTTTAGTAGTGTAATGGTTCTGTGTTAAGGTTATCTCCATGTGCATTTCAACCCAGACTTTCAATGTATTATGATAAATGTTGTAAGATCTTAAGAACTGTCATCAGTCCAGGGCAGGCCAACAGGTCACCAGTACCCCTTTCAGTATACCTCAGGGGTGAGGAAGGTAATTCAAGCTTCTCACATTCATAGTTAGAGGAACCAAAAAGAATTATCGTTGACTGGAAAGACAAGGTGGAATAAAAGAAATAAAACTCAGCAGTTCTGGCAGTGGTTTCTTCTATTATATATAGGGTGATTAATCAAGAAGGTCTGGAATGGATTGGAGAGGTGTCTTGGGTAAAGTAATATGTTACGGTCTGATTTTTTTCCTGTATATATATATTAATTATGACAGTATTATCAGTTATGCTGTTCTTTGCGTAGTATTTTATTTAAGAGAAGAAACAATGGGAAAATCTCTTTTATGGCTGTAAAATAACAATTAACTTACGAACATACAATGTCTAGAGTGTGAGGGAGGAAAGACTGGTGTGTAGAAACTAGAAAAGAAGGAAATATTTCCAATTGGTGACGGTAGTGCAACCCTTGCTACCTACTAGTAGCTCAGCCTCAGCTTTCAGACTTACACGTGCCTTTTGCTGCTCTTGGAATTTCTCAAAAATTGATTGATTTGCTGGTCCAGAAAATAGTTTGTGAAAACGTTGCTAATACATTTTGATAAATGGCTGATTATCTGCTCTTACAACCTAATATTGCTGTATTTGATACAACTTAATATTGATGTATTTGAGCAAACTGGAAATTATTGTTAAATTTTTGATCCTTTCATAATTTAAAACTCAGACATCTAATATTAAAAATCAAGGAATAATTTCTTTATTGGAGAAAAAGATGACTAATTCTGCCATATATAGTTTTTTTTGAGAGATGAGGTGAACAGGACTTGATGTCTATGCAGAACAAAAACTGGCATAAAGAAATGAATTAAGAAATTGTGACACATGTCACTTTGTTGTACCTACTTGAATGCCTGTTGATACCTTCTAGAAGTACAGTCGTTTGATATAAAACAAAAAATCTCAAAATGATGTTTGTCATGGCCCCGTACTCATTTTGTAGATGTTCAGTAAGTTTATTTCTGATAATGAGAGTCTTGTTGTTTTTCTGTTCTTCTTTGACAGCCACGAGCTGTTGCTGGTTTTCGAGGAACGGTACGGTATGCATCAATCAATGCTCATAGAAACAGAGTGAGTATCTGAACTTATATCATATCCATCTTAATTTACTAATAGCTGAAAACAGTCAGTAAGGTATCTGATATCCATTTCCTTTTTTATATTCTTCATATGTGTGCTTATTATGTAAAAATTTATGCTTCTAAATTTTGGGAAAGGATAGTATTTACAGTAGTGGAGAGTAAAATGGTTCCTGTGGAAACAATAGTCGTTTTAATACTTACCATTGGTGTTCAATTGTATCGTAAGTTAATAAACTGAAAAAGTAAAATTACTGAGTTTTATGAAATACCTTCTCTCCTGTATGTCTTCTTAACATCGTACACTAAAAAATCTGAATAAGCAGCTCTTACAGAGTAAAGATAATCTTATTTTAATACAATTCAGCTTTTGTTTTCTGTGTTTTTTAGTAGGTCACTGGATAGCTACGTTTCTGTTCCTACTTAAAACATTATAAGAATTTGTTTTGCAGTGTTTATTTTTATATATATAATAATTTAAGTCTCCACAGCAATGAAGAATCTGCTAGCAAAGTCCTTTTTGTCTTGTAGGTACTTGTAAGATGCATTTGAATGATAACTTCTTTCTTTTTCACAGGAAATGGGACGGCATGATGACCTCTGGTCCCTGTTTTACATGTTGGTGGAGTTTGTGGTTGGACAACTGCCTTGGAGAAAAATAAAAGATAAGGTAAGCAGAGAAATGAAACCAAAGAGGATGAGGAAGATTCACTTCAGAACTGCAGGCACATGCTATGATAAAGATTCCACCCAAGAATCAGTGATTCATTAAAGTTTAACATGGCATTTTACAGTGTTTTCTGGTTTCTCTTCCTACTTAGTGTTCATGGCATCAAATGCAATTAAGTTTTACCAACTATCTTACTGCAAAAGTAGACTATGCTTCTAGTTTTTGCAAATGTTTTACAGAGCAAACGTTAAGTGTATATATGCCACTTACTCCATATTCCTCTTTTCAGTTGAGTACTTTTTCATGTCACCTATCACACATTTAGAATTTCTTTTCCATTTTGAGAATTTGTAAAAGGGCATTTTTAGTTGCTGTTGAACAAAAGTGAATATGTGGTAGTGCTTTTGGCCACATGTTGTGGGCGAGCTGTGTGAAGAAACAGCATCTCATGGCTGGTTTCTATTACTTCTTTTAGCTTCTTTTGAAATTACACTTAAACAAAGGTAGCCTCTGATGTAGTTTATACTTTCATAGATGACAATGAGCTATATAGGTGGCTTCTATTATTTTGTTCTTGATTTAATGATCTATACTAAACAAAAATACTGAAATATACTGTGGTGACCAAATATATGTCAAAAATTGACTGAACTTCAGACGATGCAACAAGATATTTTATTCTTTAAGACATGCCTTTTGGAAGGCTTGGAGTGTCTAATGATAGTCCTTGATATCAGTCAGCATGCAAACACAAGAGAAAACTAAATAGGTTTAGCATTTAAAATTGAATTTGAAGTTTGTAAGTTATCTTGCATATGTACTGAGGGCAATAACAGAAGCTCTTATCTTGCTATATGCTGAAGAATTGCCTTCCTCAGTATTATTTAGTGTAATACACCCACCCATCTTTCTGGTCAGAGTTGCATTGAACGGCTGTGAGATACAGTGTGAATAGGTGGCAGCAGAGAATGAAGGTGTGCTAATATTTGTTGTTGTATGTTATCTGCTTGTAGGAGCAAGTGGGCTCCATTAAGGAAAGGTATGAGCACAGGCTTATGTTGAAACACCTCCCTCAAGACTTCAACATCTTTCTGGATCACATTTCTAATTTAGATTACTTTACCAAACCTGATTACCAGGTAAACGTTTTTACATTTTTGTATTCCTGATTTTTAAATAACAAAATTTTATGCTGTTTTATCTTCAGTTTCCTTTAATTTCATTATATTCTTGAGAATAGTTATGGATTGTCCCACCATAAAGTTATTTTAATGACCATCCACTACTGTGGGAATTTACAGTTTAAAGATAACATTCCTCCTCACCTCAACCCCATTTTGGAAGGGCAAGGCAGTTAAGTTTCTATATTTCTATACTTAAGTTTCTGTATTTTAGGTTCTGTGTTTTAGGCTCCTTGAATTAAATTGATCAGATTGCTTTCTCACCAATAGTGATCCTGGCAATTTTTCAGCATCTTGAACTCAGCACCAACAGCGCGTATGCTTAGAGGACAGCAAATTACAGCCACGCTAGGCTCTTAACACTGAGGTGTTGCCTACAGAGATTATATACACCAGAAAACTGGACAGTCGTGTTCCTTCATTTAAGAGAGTACTGCATGCTGAAATTGATGACCTCAGTTCAGTGATAAAAGGGTAGATGCAAGAGGACATGCTGTAGGGCATGCACTTTTATTCACTCAGTGTTGACTCATGTTTTAACAATAAATAAAACTCAAAAATAATATTGCTGTTCTGTACTAGTATGTCAAAAGAAGCAGAGGAATGTTCAGGGAAGTAGTGGAAGGGAGGGACTGTGGTTTTTTTCGACTCACAGATTATGGGAGAAGCTGAACTGATCTAACATCTAACCACTGTCAGAAGAGGAGGAAGTTGTTCCAGTGTGCCTTCCCTCCTGTTTCCAGAAACATACAATCTTATCCCACATTCTCGCTTGCTTCAGCCCTCTGCCTCTCTGAGTTTGTTCAACTCACTAATCAAGCAAAGACAAAACAAATAGTTTTCTGCTGCTGTGAGAATCGAATCAGTTCAACTGAATAGATTCATCATTTTGACTAATTCTGGAATTATAACTTTGATAAGAATGCAGATTGGAATAGTTACAGTATTAGTCAAATTACGCTGGAGCAAATTAAGTTAACTTGCTTTCTTCAGGAAGTGTTGTTGTTGTTGTTGATCTCCATATCCAAGCGTATCTGCTGTTCTAAAGCAGAAAACTTTTTCGGCCAGATGAACACGTTATGTGTGGATTCACTTCTTTTCACAGAGTATATCAATTCAATTCAAAGCTAACCTGATTAACAGTCACTAATGCTGAAAGATAGATCACAACAGCAGCTAACACTCTGCTTTTGCTTCAGTTTATCAGTTTATTTTATACTGTATATAACTTGTTTCTACTAAGCTTTTTCCTAGGAAATCATTGTGTTCGACCTGTCTGTGAAAATGTGTCTGCAAGACATGTTTATTCCTTATTCAGCTTTTTAACCATTCTTTGTGATTTAACTTTTTTCTGCTGAAAGAAATTAACTTCCTGTGTCTGCCACAGGGATGATCAGACTGCATAATGCCAGTTTGCTTGAGGTTTTTTTTTTTTTTTTTTTCAATTCCTGCGCTTGGCTTGGTAAGATTAACAGAGAAATCAAGATATACAGGATTCTGAATCAGAACTGGAAATTGCAAGTGATAACTAATTTCCTGTGTTTCGGTGAATTTCTCTAAATATAGTGGTGTCTCTTGCTGTGTATTTGCAATAAAATTCAATTTTGAGGGGGAAAAAAATCTAAAAATTTTTTCACAAATACAGGAAATATTCAAGTTCCTGAAGACTAAAATACTACTTTATTTCACCTGTTTAATACAGCATTCTGTGGAATTTATCCTATACTTTACTGCTAGGGAGGAAAACGATTAAGAAAATTTTGAGTGTTTTGTGTGCCTTATTACCAAGATGAATCAGACTTTCTTGTTCTGTGATAAAAATTACTGATTGCAGAAACTTTGATGTTGCATAGAAAACCTTTGCTGTAAACTGACTACTGTATTTTATTTTTATTATGTATCCTATATGGTAATATGTACATACATACATATTTTTGTGAAAACTTTTTTATGTGGCCTACTTGTATGTAACATAGCAAATGCATGCAGGGATTAATGTGGTACCACTACAGAGCTGCTCAGTGAGAAAGAGAGCCCAGTAATTTACGGTCTGCTGAACAGTTGTGGAACATGTGCAATTGTACAGCTGTAGCTCAAGCCTTCCAACAGTCTTGCTACTGTGCCTTAGAGAGAGAGTAAGATGGTGTTCTTTGAAGAGATGAGAAAATATTTTACTTCAATGATCCTTTAAGCTCTGGTCTCTCTTAATTACTATTTGTTGTAACAATACTTTTCATTTATTGGATATATATCATTCTTTGTTCATAATTATACTTAGGCACCAAACAAGCATGTAAATGGTCGATGTCCCTGCTTTGAAGAGTGTATGATCTTTTTAGACTGTACAGTAACATAGGTCTAGAATCCAAGGTCTGATTTGACAAAGTAAGTTGCGCTTATTTTATGCAGTTATTTGTGCACACATTGCCTCAGCATCCCAGCATAGTTAAAGATTTGCATCTGTATTTGCATTATAGCAGAAATTGTAATGGAGATTTCAAGGGGATTGATCTTAACGATAACTTCACAGAGAGGTGTACTGAAGGTGTACAGGAAGACTAGAATAAAGGGAGGGTCCGTACAGGACAGAGAATGAACTATGGATTTATGCGCAGTTTAGCAGGCTCTTGGAACTAACTGGGGTAGAACTTGGAAGGATCTTGAGAGTAAGGATTGCATGGATACAATCACGTTAGACACGGAAAATGATCCAAGCTGCTCATCTGCTCTAGAGTTGAAAGAGGATATGTGTTTTCAAATGGGTCAGAGATGGGAAATATTCGATATTATAGATGGGAAGTAAGAATGAAAACTGGAATTTTAGCTTTTAGGAAGGAAAGATGTTATGGAGTAAGAGATGACGTGATATGGACGCAGCCTTCCCACCAGTGACTGCAATGTGGCGAAGTTTTTCCAAAGCTAGGGGAAAATAGATGCAATTTCAGCACAGATTGTCCTAAATGTTTTTTCATAGAATAAAATCGGGGAGGAAAGCTTACAGTTTGTCCTATCTGTGGAATGGGTGTTAGCTTTATATGAGCTAAATGGCACATGGCTCTAAATGACAGAAATATATAAATTAGCAAGTCAGCATGCTCCCTACATGCTCCTGATTCATTTCTTTGGTTTCAGATGGTGTCACCTAATATATTTTTTCATCCTTCTCTATTTGATTCTGTTCTGCAGCCACTTAGTCATGCTTGTCTGTGTGTAAATGTTCCAAGCTTTTTAAGGAAGCCTGTGATTAGTGCATTTCCTGCACTTTTCTGTTCGCGTTTCTGTCTAAATTCCCTTCTAAAATGCTCCACACGCAAATGTCAACTTGCATGTTTCTTTGCATCTCTTTATTTCTGGAAGCAAAGGTGTCATTTGCTTGTTTATTTTTATAAACCAGAAATTTGCAAGTCTTGTCCTTGAAACTTTGAAAAATGACAAATCTGAAGCAGTTAATGTAACACATTGTGAAAACGCTCCCCCTCCTTTTTAAGGAAAATTTTTGTCAGTCAAAATCTTAAAAAGGAGACATATGTTAAAGTATTACAGAAGGATGCATCTCAATTGCTTTATCTTTCTCTCATACGAAAAGGAAGCTTATTAACTTTTTTCTTTATCTTTAGCTTCTCATGTCTGTGTTTGACAACAGCATGAAAACATTTGGGGTTATTGAAAGTGACCCTTTCGACTGGGAGAAGAGTGGAACTGATGGCTCTCTGACTACAACAACAACTTCAACTACACCTCAGTTACACACTCGTCTTACTCCAGCTGCAATTGGGTAGGTATGCATGTTTTCTGTGTTCACCTAAAAAGCAAACACAGGATACCAAAGGAAAGTTATGTCTATAATGTAGTTTTTTTCTGCAGGACATTGAATAAATAGAGTGGAGGACTGAGAGCAATTGAAGTATTTCCCTTTTTAGGGTTCCTGTTTACACTATTCTTAAAAATCAGCACGGTGGTCCTAAATTTATAGTAGTAAAGAATGGTAGCTCAGGACATTGCATGTACATTCTCATTTGCTAGTCAATCGTTTGCTAAACTATACTTTGTGACTTTAACTGATGCCTGTTAAGTTGAACAGAGTGGAAATAACCCCATTGTCTCCAGTAGGCTTTGCAATAAGGCATTTGCTGCGTTTTCCTTGTAACTTTGAAAAATGAATGGATCTTTATAGGCAATTTGAAAATAGATTTTTTTTGTTTTTTTGTTATAGGTATCAAGAATGATTTTATACCAATTTGATGCTTAGTGAGATCTTTGAGACCTTTTGTAATTAAAGAAGTTGGAGGAGATGTAATGTTTAATAATACTCATCTCAGGAGACTGGGGAACATTACAGGTGTATGTGGGTGAGGAGGAAGAGCTTGCGCCTGACCTAGGCCTTGCATAGATCACCTTTTATCCAAGCGATGTGAAAGTTTGAGTGTAGCAGGGCTGAAAAATGCTAGAATTTCATATAGAATGTATTAGATCCCTATTACTATTATAAGGTAATTTTTTAAAAAAGATTGAAATAAATGTCAGTCAAGACATTAACTAGTGTTAATGTTTTGTGGATGTGTGACCATGCTGAAGCAGACAGGGATTTTGCATATGATTCAGTCTCATTATCACACTAGGCGTTACACTGGTGTTATTGATAGTCTCATCTGGAATTACTAATTTTGGTGTCCATAGAGGAATGATTATTAATTGATGTCCGGACCATTCATGTTTTAGGAATAGCGCTGCCTCAGTTTTATCTACTGCTAAGTCACTGGGACTACAGAACTTTAATTAAAATGTGATGTCTTTTCAGAGTTATGTTTATGTGTTTGATTATCAATAATTGGATAAAAAAAACACTTTGATAAGAATATTGATTAAAACTATATTATATCTATGCAATGTAGTCCTCAAACTCTGTTTTGTTATTCTACAAAATTTTGAAGAAAAGAAAAAACTATATTAGCAAAGTTGCCATTAATCTTTTTGAACGAGATTTTTTTTGGAAGGATTTTGTATTTTCTCTCTCTCTCTTTTTTATTTTTTTTAACTTTCAAAATGTGAAGAACAGCCTGTGCTTACTCTAAGCATGTTCTTCCAAGTCTACTTCTGAGTGGCTGAATGATTACAGAATATAAATATTCTTTAAGCAACAGTGTTCCAGCAGCCTAAAACCTAGTAGCTGTACAGTAGCTGGAGAAAATCAGTTTCGTCTTATTTAGCTGCCGAGATGATATAAACAGGAGAACAGAATCCTGCAAACTACAGAAGAATTCTACACACAAAAAGAGTCCTAAACATATTTTTTCAACCTCTAACTTAAAATTTTAGGAGTTCATGTTTTATATTCTCCTTCCTGAGCTATAACAGTCTGTGCACCTTCAAGCAATATTAAGAAAAATGGGGCAATTTCTACTTCAGCTGACTGTGATGTTATCTGCAGTGGGGAAGGAGAACCTCTGAGAGTGGATCTTGAAAAGTAATTAAAGGAACCTAAACTTCAAATAGTCCTGTAAAGCCAGCAGCCTTCTAGCATACACATTTATTTCTTAAACATTTTAATACTTAAACAGATTTTGAATTCACCTTTAGATCTTGAAATTCTATTAATGGCCTTTGATGAACAGTAGATAAAATAGCAACCAGTTTTGTAGATAGGGAAATTTTTATTCTTCTGGAAATAGAAGATGATAGTTTAAATTATGTAATCTTCAAATGCATACCTGTTGCTTTTAAAATCAGTTCTGATTCCTATCTATTCCCTGTAATATTTAGTTATTAAAGAAATGTTTTTAATCCTGCTCAGCATTAATTAAAGTGCTGTAATTAAAAAAAAAAAAAGAAATTTTTTATGAACTATGACATCAATAATCATATTTTGGGTTTTCTGTGGAGAAATTATCTATTTTTATCAGAAACTCCAGTTTTTTAAAGGAAATTAATTAATATTGATAGAATGGAAACTGCTGTCATTGAATCTGAGACAACACAAAAGCTGTATCAATAGTCTTTTAGTAAAAAGTTGTATTTTTCAAATCTTTACATTCTATTAAACAAAGCTATTCTAGTTAAATATATGGATTTATACCAGCTGTAATTGTAATATGGAGTATCTGTACATTTTTTGTAGACGTGCACTTTTTTAAAGCATGTACCCTTTAGAATAGCTATTCAGTGAGCTATGGTTAAAATGATAACTAGTTTGAGAGAGCATTTATTACTTTTATGATATACACTAGATGCATATGTAAGGTATTTCCAGACTTTAGTATTCTCTTGTTTTTCTTCAAGCAGTCATGATTTTGTCAAACTGTGTTTAAACCTGCAGTCCAAAGTTAGCTCTGCTAGTAATAAGAATAGAAACTGGACAAAATAAGTGAAAAAGTTAGAATATAGTAAATGACTCTGATTAGCATTTGTCTTCTGTCAGGACAACCTCCTTGGAGCCAAAACTGTACTTTCTGAAGTCGTAATTCAGATGTACCATATTTTATACACTACTTATCTATCCAGCTTATTTTAGTACATTATAGTTATTAAGGAATAACAAATCTATGCAAATAGCCTGGGATATTTATCAAGCAAAAGACCCTTGTTGACTTCTGGAGCACAGCCTTCATTAAGGTCTTTATAATCCGCTCATATTCCAGAAACTGCGAAGAGGAGAATATTCTTTCCAGTTGCAAGAAATTATTATATGCTGATACTAAGTGATTGTTGGATTTCATTTTAAAAAATACAGGGTTTCTACTGAACCGTGTTCAGCAATTTTTTTATCCAAAGAAAAGAAGAAAATCGTATTTATGCAAGTGCTTCCTAATAGTTAGATGTGACCTTTAACAAACTCTCTCCAGGAATTCCATGAAAAATCATTCAAGAAATAGATTTAAAATATTTATTTGTTGAGTAAATTCTTTGGTTATATGCCTGAAACAAATATACAGAAATTGTGAAGCCCCAGACTTAGCCTTTGTATATTAAATGATTTACAAGGTTTGTCTTTCTGGAGAAATTTGCTTTTTTGTAAATTTTTTTTTCCATTTATTTAATTAAGTGGAAAATCATTTCAATAAGCACATCAGCACCTCAGAATCTTCACCATTCCTTTTTTTTTTATTATTTTTATTTTTAACTTCTTTTGTAGAATTGCCAATGCTACCCCTATCCCAGGAGATTTGCTGCGGGAAAACACAGATGAAGTGTTTCCCGATGAACAACTCAGTGATGGAGAGAATGGTATTCCAGTTGGTGTCTCACCAGAGAAAGTACCTGGGTCCCCTGGGCATCAGCGTCCTCAGGAAAAGGATGTCTGGGAAGAAATGGATGCGAACAGGAACAAAATAAAACTGGGGATCTGTAAGGTATTTATAAATTTCCATTGGGAAGACCCTCTTTGAACAGTTTCCTATCCTCATGGTGCACATACGACAAGATGAATAATACAGTTGTACTAGTATTGATTGGCCAAAATTGTCTAAGAAAACAAGGCTTATGGTAGAGCTAACATATTTTATCAGACCATTTTATGTACTGGGAAAAGCAGACAAGCTTTTGGACTTGGTGTCACTTGATGATGATTCACATTCATGTTCTTCAGACATTATTTTGATCCCTGCTTACTGAATGAAGAGATTTTCTGCGTTTTGCCTCCATAGAAGTTATCTAATGAATATCTGGAAACAGGTTTCACATTTTTCTCCAGTAAACAGATTGAGATTGGCAATATCCATTTAGTTCATGTGGTGTTTTTGTCTCCACAATATATGATACCTTTGTACTGATAAGTAGCCCAAAGGCGTTCGTGGGCTAATCTTCAGAAGGGAATATTGCTTAATTTTAGTTGTCTCCGAGGAGTGGTTCTCCTCACCCTCCATCGTTATTGTTATACTCGTTCATAATCACATTTCATATTCAGGCACAATCACTGGATTTCTATTTCTTGTATATGAAAATGTTATCAACAGCTGAAGAGGGATATGTTATTGAAATGTTCTTTAGCGAGAAGGGCTGTCTAATTTTTGAGGCTGTTACTTTTTACTTACTAGAAAAAATGTGGGAGAGAGTAAAGCATGATGCCCGTTTTCAGATGTGCTTAATTTATTTTTTATTTTTTATTTTTTTTTTTACCAAAAAGGAAGAAAGCAGATTGATATGGTTTAAACAAATTAATTTTTTATTTGTTACACCTATTAAAACTAAGGATGAGCATGATTTCCCAGCTCTAAATCATGTCCAGTTAGTATACAAAGTGAAATGCAGATGGACTAAAACATGTTTCTGTATCACAGAAACTTCTAGTAGATTTAGTGTATTAGATTTAGTCTTTACTGTTGTGTTATATGCTCCAGAGGATCATAAGGATGACTCAACGTGAAAACTAACTTTCCTTTAATAAGAGCCCTTGACTCCAAAGCAGTGTGAAGATGCTATGAAGTGTCTGGTTTCAGGCTATTATGGAGGAGAAATTCAGAGATGGATGTGAGAAATTAGTGTAAATTTAAGTACAACTGTGTTTTTGTGACTTCCATTCTTAGACCTACCCAAAACAACTGTATTACTGGCACTTTTTATCTGTTTAGATATATACTGAGGAGCATATCTAAACTAGCGTTGAGTATGGCATGCACTTAAGGACCATTCTGAATGTGAATGGGCTTATCAGTGGCTAAGTACTTGGATGGTGTTCACTATATATTACTGTGTGTTCCTTTATTTTGCCACTTCTAGTGTTTCACTTTTGCTTTACTTCTTGCACAGGCTGCTACAGAGGAGGAAAACAGCCATGGACCAGTGAATGGAATGCTTAATGCACCGAGTCTCGGTTCTCCCATTCGCGTCCGCTCAGAGACCACCCAGCTAGATAGAGATGTCCCACTGGTGCGAAAGTTGCGTTCAATTCACAGCTTTGAACTGGAGAAGCGTCTGACATTGGAATCAAAGCCAGATACAGATAAATTTCTTGAGACCTGGTAAAGAAATTATTTCTTATTTTATTTTTATACTTAGATCTTTTCAAGTTACATAGTTAAGATCATCTTTACGCTATTACTTTATCAAATTACAGTACCCTGTGAAAATCAGAAACTGAGCTGCTGAGTAATGCTTATGCAAGCTGCATCCAGCAGTATTTACTTTGTTCATAATATTGCTTAATTAACGACTTTTGCTAGTTGGCTTCTTTAAAATACACATACACACATATGTATAATATATGTATGTAAAATATATACAAAATGCGTTCTTTAAAATATATGCTAAAATATAATTTTAATATACAAGCATATACATTATGAATTTTAATTAAATAATTTATAATAATGTATTTGATATTACAAATTTTTGATTTTAATATGCAAATATATAAAAATATGCTAATATACAGGTTTCCAGATAATTTTTTTATTTCAAGACCTAATGGTGTAACACAGATGTATATTACCTTTTCCTTCCCTGGGATTCTCTTGAGGGTCAGTACAACTCATCCTGAATAAGAATGACAACATCAAACGCTCGTTAGAGGTAACATAGGAAGAGGTTATATGAGATGAGAACACAAGTTTGAAAGAAGAAGTGGAGTTCTTATGAAGTAAAGTTAGAAATCTACCTGTTTCTGCATCAGATTTAGTTATGCCCAAAGTTGTTGCACCAACATAAAAAAAATCTTGTTAGAAGAGAGAGGTCTTAAAATGGAGTTCTAAGGTAAAGAAGAGAGAGGTGTATGAGAACAGACTCAGTAAATTTGCCTATGTGTAGAAAGACTAAATGAGGAAGGGCATATTGAAATCTGACTGAAAGACAAAGCTTAGAGGTTCAGTGAGGACACAGGAGAAGGCAGCTGAGATGTTGACAGTGGCAAAATTCTGCTGAATATGTCCCAGAGGATTAGGAATTTGAATTTGATGAAGCAAGTGATGCAAAGCGTAAATAATGAATGTAAAATTTTAGTAGTGTTCAGAGAAGAGGTCAGTCTTAATAGGACTATTTTAAGTCTGAAAAGGGATTGAAAGGTGAGTTTTATAACACTGGAAACTGAGACACAGAATTGTCTTCCTCTGTCCGTAACCAGTTAGGATGTCTAAGTGTCACAGAAGAGTAATGGAAGTAGTGCTTTGTTATTTCTTTAATCCTTTCTAACACACAAAAGGAGACATGTACATTTCTGAAAAAAAATTCGTGATTGTTTTTCAATAAACTTCTGACAGAGAAGGGAATATGTTGTACTTCAGAGAACAGAATGAACTGCTAGAATAGAATGAGCTGCAGTGTAACCTGCGGAGCAGAACTGAAGCAGATAGATGGAGGAACTTACTTATGCCTAGCAGAGATAAGAAACAAAAATTGTGGTCATCCTCAGTTCCCTCATTCCTGTTTTTTGTTTGTATAATACCCAAAACCAGGTACTGAATGCAGTCTGCAGTGTTTTAGCAACTTCTCAACTTGACATAAGACTAATACTATCAGTCCTTGTATGGCAGGAATTGTTTGCTTACGTGCAAAACAATCAGTAAGGTCCTTCTTGAAAGCATCTTCTAACTCCTGTTGGAGACATCTCTTTCTTTTGCTCACCTTTGGGTCTTTGCTTTGCAGTGTGACTTAACCACACTGAACATCTGGTGGTAGTGTGACCACCGACTTGGTATCCACCCACTGTTTTCTCTCCTGTTCTCTCAGGCTGATTGCACTTACAATTTATGTGTGAATTTCTAAGACCATTCACTATTTTTGCCTGACATCAGAATTATGTTTTGAAGAAGTGGGTAATAAACATCACACTGAAATAAATACATATTTTCTTATATATATATGTATATGTGTCTTCTCCTTGGCTTAAGTTAGGGAATTGTTTCAAACTATGGATCTTTCAGATTGTTCTAAAAATGACAATAAAATTTTAAATGAATTTAATTTTTCTCTAGTGATAAAATATAAAGGTAACTTACAGCATTTAATTCATTCTTAACTAATTCAGATATTAACTTCTTTTCTTAAGTTTGGAGAAGATGCAGAAAGACTTGAATGCTGCAGCGGAGACTGCTGTTGCTGCTGTTCCTCCTCTTTCTCAGAAAATACTCGTTCCTGCTCCAGTGACTGCCCGCACGGACCATGTTTGGCACTATGATGAAGAATACCTTCCAGATGCTTCAAAGCCTGTGTCAGCTAGTTCTCCAGAACAGGTTGATGGTGGTGTTAGCAATGGATTTGTAGCTGTCAACTTAAGCTCCTGCAGGCAGGAGGTTGATTCTAAGGAATGGGTGATAATAGATAAGGAACGAGACTTGCAGGATTTCAGGACAAATGAGGCTTTAGGGCACAAAATGACCGGAAGTCCCTCAGATGAAGAGCCTGAGGTACTACAAGTTTTGGAGGAGTCCCCTCCAGAAGAGCAGCCCAGGCAGGGTGATGAGGCAGGAAACGGCGTCCATACGAAGAACCAAACCTCAGGCGTGGAGTTAGATTTAGCCATGGAGTGTCACCCGGCCGCTTCCGATCAGCTTACTGATAAGTTGGAACTTCTGGCCGCAGCTGCGGGACAGCTTCTTGCAGCCACCCCTACAAGTCCTATGGAAGCTCAAGCAGAAGGAGCGCTCACTCCGGTAAGAGAAACGATCATTGTTTTATTGCATCTGTCTTCAGAATTATTTGAGGAGGTAGTGAGTGAAAAGGCAATGCCTACAATATAATAGTGTAGTAGAAATTCCTAGTTCATCAGATATGTGACTTGACTCTTCAGAAATAATCGTACGTGTTCTGTTACATATGTTTGCATTTTCCCATGAAATTGGCTGTTAGTTCTGCAGTGTATCAGCCACAGAACTGGGCTCAGTTAAAATCTATTTATTAAGAAGATGATTCCTCATCAATGAGAGATACACTTGCAAATATGTTTATTATATTTGCAGTACGTGACAAATAAATGAATATGAATATGTAGAATACTGTGCTACAATATACTATGTGTTTCAGGAAAAGCCTAAGTGGTTAAAATTAAAGAAACCAAATTATTTGCTCTTACCATCACTGATACAATGTTTTTCTTTTGGAAATCCCTCTGTTTCTTCCTGCTCTGATTTAATCTCTTAGTAATTTCTGCCTTTGTGAAATCTCTGTTGTTTCTTACACAAGCTACTTGACTTTTATGAATCTTTGCTACTTCTCACTTACAAGATAACTCTGCAACTACTGCTTTGCTCCCAGAGTTTTCTCTTCCCTGAGACAGACTGGTTTACTTCCATTGCTGCTGTTTCTTTACTATGTTTTCTAATCTTTTCTAAAGAATTCTCATTTGCACAGGTTTTGAAAGTTTACCATTTTTCCTCCTCTGGTACTAATTCTAGACTTTGACTTTATTTAAGAAGAAAGGGAGATTAAAGGTTAGAGCAAAGGAATCCGCTCCTAGTTTAATTTCTCCTTTCTTCAGTTGACACTGTGTGCCAAAAAGGGCAATTCTTTCAAGCTTCTTTGAGCCAAGAAACCCGGCTGTACTTCTCCCTCACTTATCACCACTTTTTTTGAAAATTATAGCCTACACCGTAGAAAAGGAAGCTTGTCACCGACCGCTCTTTTATTATAAGGTCCGGAATATCCTTTATTGGTGAAAATTAACAAGAGCAAATAACCTATTTAATGTAATTAACTATACCTATACAATAAAACTTCAAGTGCTGTTAGATTATCATGGAAAATGAAAGACAGTATATACTTCATACAAGATTACTTGTATTTATATGTCATTATTTGTGAATCATGTAGTTTACAGAAGATGTATTTTGCAGACTTCAAAATATGGAACTGTGATAAAAAAGCAATAGAAGAATTTTGAGACATAAATTGAAATATCAGCTGCACAAAAGTTTTTGATGTTTTAGAAACTTGTGAAGATGAACAATTGATTTGAATTGCTCAATTGTTTTTAATCATTCATTTTCTATGTTTTTAATATTAGTTTTAACATAACAGACATCATACAGCAACGTTTAGTTCTGCGCAAAGTACTAATTATCAGGTGCTTTTATTTCCAAAGCCATTAACAAACAGCTTGCAATTTTACGTGTAAGTGCACTATCCTGCTATATATAAATTTGACTCATTTGAGGGAAATGGTTTGTTTACTTAAACTGAAAGTAAGTTATCATGTACTGCAGTGAGAGTAATGGACAATATGGTTATCTGGAAAGGAGGAGGATTCTGTGCAGAGGAGTGGAAACCATCATAGATGAGGTCTATGGATTATGAAATGTATTGGGCTAAACGTTGGTTGAAGTAAACACTTGGCTGAGACTATATTTTAGTCCTCTTTTGCAAGCAGGTGAGCGATATTTGTCATGAAGCAGAAAACAGGGGAGAAAAATATCATTTATGTTATCGTGGGAGGGCAAATAGTGCTGTGAAGGCATGATGAGTGGCAGGAACTTGTCTGTTTTTGAAGATGAACCACGTGGAACTGGAATACAAACTGAACTGTGAATAAAGGAAACTAGAAATGATTTGGCTGATATATAAACTGGATACGGATCGCCAAACGTTGCTATTCAGTGTGTCTATTCCAGACGTGATTGCAGTTTGTGGTGGTTTTGCATCTACTTCATTAGCCCTTGAATTAAGGCCAAACAAAGCCCAGCAGGAAATTTTGGGATGAGTTGCTCTTTTGGTCTGCTGTTGACGTTCTGGTATTCCACTTCATAAGAAAGTACTGAAATATTCTGTGATATGTATACTGGAACGTAGGTATTCTCATGGGTTAGTGTCCTAGTCACTTCACAGGGAGACGTTCATATATATGCCTCCTCATATAGTAGCTCTCTGTATTCCAAAACCTTGGTGACCTTAAAGAGCTGTTTGATAAAAACAGTTCTTTTCCTTCTTCCTCGAAATGTTTTGCCAACCTGAAACTGTTCTGTGAATGTGACCCTCATTCATGAATAGTTTTGAGATGCCTGAAGCGCAGCTGCCAAAAGCCATTCCAAACAGAACTTTTTCTAAATAAGGAGATCCTATTTTTTTCTAGACAAACTACGAGTTACTAAAGCCAATTAGATGGAGCTGCTCATGAATTTGAATACAGAGGGATACCTTTCCTAAGTCAAAAGCAGAAAAACAACGTGGTACTTGCATTCCAAGTTGTTAACCTAGTTGCTAGCTGAATTTTTTATTTAGTCAGATACGATTTTTTAGACAAGGGAAATAAGGAAGACCTAACCTCACTGGACTTCTGTAAAGCGTTGATTATGATTCCTTATGGGGAATCCAAAGATGGAGAAGCAACTGCTTGAAGGAGAGAAAAGAGAGTCTTGAAAGAGGGGAAGTATCAAGGAGGAGGCAATTGCAAATGGAGTTAATTGAAGTATAGTTTGAGAACTGATGTCACTTGCTGCAAAAGTTCAGAGAAATTATCAATACAGAGAAGGATTGAAATGTCGCTTGGGGAGGCTTGGAGGACTTTGAATGTCAATACAGAGAAGGATTGAAATGTCGCGTGGGGAGGCTTGGAGGACTTTGATTGAATATAATAAAAAAGTGAGTAAATGCTCTAGTACAAAGTGGGAAGTCTTTCATTTGGAAACTAATAACAAGAATTTCTGCTATACGCTTATCTGTATATTTGTACTTTCCTGTGTGCATCGGAAAATCATTGAATCTTTATCAGATACATAGAATGAAAAATTTCTTTTCCCTTTTCCTTGGTATTAGAATTACAATAACAGCAAGGATGTTCCTGTATGCATATACTCGCCCATAATTGCATTTTATCCTAAAGAAAAGAAATTGCTGGTCTGCAGTCATTCCATTTGTAGATAAATGTTCTTCCTGAAATCATGTGTGTACATGGCTTTCCTGTAATTGATGATCACGTTGTTTCTTACCTGTTTGACACAGCACCACATTCTGGTAAGAATATAATGTTGTAGCAGTTCAGCAAGGAAACCTGAACTCAAAAAATGAGAGAGGAAAAAGCCTTAAGATATTGGTTTGGCAATAAGCAAGTTCTAGGCATAGGTAGTATTTACAGGAAATTGTGCTATTTATTATGAAAAAAATAAAGGTAAGATTGAGAAGAAATTTTCATGTTCTTTGTCACGGTTTTCCGGTCATTAATACAAGTCTATCTGCTGCCACCAGATTACCCAGCAAATACCAGTTTGATGTGGCTCAGTCATGGGCACATGATCACATTTTTGCTGAATTATTCAGAGCATGATAAGGTATATATTGCTGACTTTATGCTTTCATAGTGGCTTTATTGGCTTTGGTTACCGGAGGACAGACAGTAGCTTATTTGGCCTAACACCTGTTGGTATGAAGATAATCTGTTAGAAAGATTTGAACCGATCTAGACTAATAAAGAATTTATACTAAAGCAGCATTTTGTATCAGGAACCTCTGCTTTTTTGATTTAGTACTAAGAGCCTGAAGCTGGACTTGCTGCGGTGGCCTCATTAGTGTTCTATGTTTGTATTTAATTGCAGTGAACTTCTTAAAATGCATGCACGGAGCTGTTTGCAGCATATGCATATCTATTAAGCAGATATTTTAGCAGTGAAATAGTAATGGAGTTGAAGGCATCTAATATATAACGGCTAATGCCATTTTCATCTTCAGTCTGAATTCAGCAACAGTTTGCCCTACTCGCACTAAGTTGACAACCTAATACCCAATATAAGCGTGCACGATTATAGAGGAGATTTGACTGTGTGAATCTACTCATTTATTGTTATTATTTGGGAATAATGCTGAAATTAGAATTTTATACTTTGAGATATAAGTATATTTTATCAAAGAGCTGCTCTTACACTTCTGTTTATTTCAGAGTTTTTATTGTTTAATTTTTATGTACCTTCTTATCCTCATTTGCTGCTTTATGAGACAGTGGTTATACAGGTTTTCTTCAGTTGAAAGACAGCTACACCTTATGGGAACTAAACCTCTAGAAGTGATACTACTGAAAATATCTTTTTCTTGGAAACTGTATTTATTTGCAGGTTTTTTTTTTTTTTAAGGCTAGGTATTGTGTTTCCAAGGATTATGGGTTAGAATTCCAAATATCATGATAAGAAACAGAAAATCACCTACATGAAGCATGAAAAAAGTTTCCCTGTCTCTGTTCTTTCTGATTTTTGTCTGAATATACTTGGAACAAAAACTTGCAAACTATGCATAGCAATCTCATCTTCATCTGCAGATACTTAGCTGTGTAGCCATCAGATATTTATTCAGCGCTGCTAAGGTCTTGCAAAGAATCTGTTGACTTCAGAGTTGCTTATCAGAGCAAAAGATTTATTAGAATCGTCAGCGTTCAAATTGAAAATGTACTTTCTTTAAAATTGTTAGTTGGAAACACGTTGCTTTTACAGTTCCTGTTCTTTTCTTTTTTTTTTTTTTTTTTTTTTTTTGCTTAAGCCATATAGTTCAAGGTGAAGTAGTTGTTCAAGTAGTTGTTCATAACTTCTCCAGGCCAGTGTATTCTTCGAGTTTAACTCCATGTTTGGGAAATTTCATCAAAATCATTTAGTGCTAATCTTGCTGATTAATGCTATCAGCTACAGTTCTAATGTACATTGGTATAGCCATCGTTGCACAGCCACAGTTGTAAAGCACGCAGTGTGTACCTGCTAAAAATAGTTATCTCAGAAAAGAGCGCTGTTGCATGACTGTTCTAAGCCGTTGCAAGGACAAGTCAACAATCAACTAGTCTGTGTATTCAGTGTCCTTGGAACAGACCGTTTCTGTTGGTGTGTTAAATGTGCCCTAGAAATAGTTTTACTGAATGAATGAGTGAAGACAGGAGCCAACAAGAGAAGGAACGCTCACTTTTGACTGTGATACTGGCTTTCTAAAAACTGATGGAAAATGTGAGGATTAGACTTAAGATACCTCTTCAATTTTCAGCTTTTAGTTTATGAGGGAGTTGGCAATATGGACTTCTAAGTCAATGGGTATAAGCAGGACATCAACAAGAATTATTTAAAATACTGATTTTAAAAACTTATTTTCTTCTCCACCGTGTTGTTCTCACAGCTCAACTCATCTCATATGCTGCATTTCTCCACTCCAAGAATTTCAAGTCCCATCCTCCGCACCATGAGCCCTATAGCCTATCTATCCATCCACTCGGACCCTCTGAAAGAGACTGGTTTACCAAGGAGTCAGTCAGCTGAGAGCCACTCCTCCTCCTCCCGCTCAACTGGTCGTAGGCAACTTCCTGTCATTCCCTGTGGCAACAGGTTTCCCCCTGTCATTCGCATCTCAAAAGCACAACTGCAGCAGGTGAATAAGCCTTGTCATCATAAAAGCGACTGTGTTATAGCAGTCATCTGCAAAGTTTAAGATATTAAGTTGCTCTGCAAAATTCAGTCGTAAGCATATGCTAGTCATACTGCTATAAACAACATCTTAGAAAGTGTTTTGAGAGATCAAGTTAGGGAATAACAATGGATTTCATTCAGGAGTAGAGTAAGGAATACTGCAGGAGAAAAACAAATTGTCCTACTCAGTAGAGGTGACATAACAGTCAGGAATATTTAAAGATTTGCTATTCAAGTTATCATGATCTGGAGCATCAGACATCTGTGGATGTTGTGGTACATAGATTTGCTTCCTCAGAGCACTTTCCTACTTTCTCTGGAAAAGGTAGGATCATAACATCTAGAAAATAGATTTTTCCTTGCTTCAAAATGAAGATTAAAACCTCTCTTTATTGTGCTTTCCTATAATCACTACTCTGTGGATTTTAAATTGGGAACGCATAGTAAAATTTGGACTACCTTAACTGATTGTAATGTGATAAAATAGGATCCAGAGACAGTCGTGTTACTACTTTGGGCAACAAGAATATATGAATCTTTCCACTATTTGCAGCATATACAGTGAAACTGGGAATTATCGGGGCAATAGCTAAAGGAAGTGTCAGTGTAGAAAGTAGCGTGTTCATTGTTTTGTATTCCCAGTTTCTTTCCAGTATGAAGAAGAGTATGATGTAGGATCATAATTAATGTTTACCCAAATCTATGTATTAGTCACAAAAATATTGAAATTTGCTAAGCAACATCAGCTTGTGTTAACTATTAAAGCAGTATGACATAGCATTAATGCTTAAGACTGTAACATATCATCATCATTATACCATTAATATTTCATTTGGACTATATTTTCTGTTGTTATTTATTTCCAACATATTTTTAGTATAAATATTTCTCTGTGAAAGATTTATATTTTTTTGTGAAACATACACAAGAATATTGATTTAAAAAGTAATCCATCAACATTAACTTCTTTCAAACTTCAGTAGTGGTTAACACTGAAGTTTGGTAAATGGTGAATGGTAACAAGGCAAACAGCATAGCTACTATATTTATGTCAGCATTTTGTCAAAAAAACTGTCTTTCTTCCTGCAACTCCTGGCTGCTTTTCATCTCAATAGAAGATCATAGTTCCTCCTCCATCGATAAATGGAAATGGGCAAATGGTATCTCTCAGATGTTCAGTATCATGAACTTGATGGGATATCAAAATATCACATTTTTCGTGACAACTGACATATTAACTAGGGAAAAGAACTTCGGAGAAATAAACTCATTAGAAATTATGCTTCAGTATTTTTCAGGGTTATTTTGTATCCCAGGTTGCAAGATGGCCTTTTTTTTTTTTTTTAAACTGTATATCCACAGTTCAGTTTAATCTTTTTCCGTCAGAGTGTATGGCAGATGTAATTAGCAAACTGCTCACAATACTCAGAGCAAGTAGGTTGGTGCAAAGGGTCTTCTCTGGCTTCCTTAGTACCTAACAGATAGATACAGCTGCAGTATTAATAGGGGCTGCAATGTGATCCAGTCTCTTGTCATGTGAAAAAGAATTGGTGTTATGCCTGGTACTGCTACCGAGTGGGGTGAAGATGAGAGGGGAGAGGATTATATAAAGCTCTCTCAGCCTCCTCTTTCTTTTTGCCTGGTAAGTCCACGTCTACTGTATCCCTTTTCAAGCTGTAAAGTTGACACTCCTGATGCTACTGAGAATTTAACTTCCAGTTTTTCATTTGCTGTGGAAACTACAAGCACATGGTACCTTCGTTCATTCAAACAATCAAGGCCTCATGTACTTCTTGGCTCACGGAATTGAAATATTTTTGCAGATTCTTCCTTTTTCGGTGGTGCAGTAAGGTTAGGTACTTAGCAAGCTAGAAGAGTTCCCACAGCATGAAAGATGAATATGCATGTTAATAACCTGAAGCCTTTCTCCAGTTAAATATTAAAAAATGTAACATCATTATGTATTGTTTAATTTTATATAAATATTTGGTGTTGAATATATTTTCATGTATTTCCTGCTGTGTCACTTGCAGTTTCATTCGGCATTCATAACTAATGAACTGAAGAAGTAGGGGAGCTGTGCTGTTGAGCTTAGTTCCATGTGCTGTAAAATAAGTAATGATACTTTTGTTCCTGAAATTTGGCAAAGGGATTTTGATTTTCTGTCCTGATTGTTGATGAGTTAGGGGTTCAGGAACTGTAACCCATCCTCTTTTAATTTGACATCAGATAGATGAGATCATAAAATGTCTACATAATCTGTGTTTGCTAGTGCAGTGAGGATATCTACCTTTGCTGCTTTGATAAAGGTAACTCCTCTCTTGCCATGCATTTATTATGGAAGAAAATTGGAGGATTTTGCTTCAATTGTCCTTTGTCGTTCAACTTGCAGCAAAAAGGAGGAGCGTAGCAGGATTAGAGCTTTCAAAGGACAGAATAACTCATTTGACTCTACTTGAATCTAAAGAGTGGATTCAAAGTGCTATTAGCGCCATTTCCTTATAGAGCATGGTCAAATTGTACAACAAATACTCCTGAAAAATAAACTGTTTCTTTCTTTCTCTGACTTTTTCAGCTGGATAAGTTCTCTGAACTGTGCTTATCAGAGGACTGCATAGATTGTTGTGCAAGGGCAATGGAAAAGATGGTGCGAGTGCAGTAACAAGTGGCCAGAGCTGTGTATGAAGAGGTTGCTTAGGGTAGATGTTTTGCTAAATGTGTACCTGTGTCTTGACCTCAGATTTTGATCTTTACAGTTTCTCAGCTTTAGTTCTTCAATAGCAAACACCTCTTCTAGGCATGGAAGCCATCAAAATGCTTCAGAACTGGCTGCTCTATAATAAGATTAAGCCCTTAATAAAAGTGGATTTCAGTTTTCCATGTCATCCTGACATATCTTTATTTCTGGAGTTCTACTGAGACAAATACAAGCGGGCTAATTTTAATTCGATGATTTTGTGGTCTGGTTATTCACTGTGTTAGGAAGTAATTATCTGTATTCCTCAGGTTAAGTGATCAAAATTAATTAGCACTTCTACAACTATTTTGGCCTATTTCTTAGTTTTCCTACTAATCTACCTTACTGCTACGTTTTTAAAGTTATTATGTAGTTTTATTAGCTACAAAACACTTTGAAATCTTCCCATATAAGATGCTATGGAAATGCAAGCCATGATGTACTTAACTATTCATATCCAAGATGAGATATAATATGCTGATCTGAGTTGAAAAATTTACCTTAATTTTTAAGCATCTCACTGGAATTCAGGGACCTATGGAAGAATAAGGTAAGACTTCTTGACGTGTTCAAGGGATAGTGAGAGAAAGAATGCATATCCCTTATAATTGTCATTTTATTTTGGATGTTGTAGGTTTATCAGCCAGGAGTGCACGTAAATGTTGTGAAATTTTGCCATTTCCATGAAATTAATTTTGGCAGGTTTCACTAGTCTGCAATAGCAAGAGATGAACGCTTACATTGGGTTCTGCATTTAATAAAACCTTTCAAAACACACAAAAAGACAAATAGAAACCCAAGATACTCCTCTTTTGTTACAGTGTGCTTTTAGCATGATTTTTAATTTGTCAGCAGCGTTAACTTGAAGTTGTCATGTGCATTAGGATGAGATTAGAACTCAGCTAGCCGAAACTCTGGTTGAACTGGGTTTAGCATTGCGCTCTTCAGTTAAAAAGGTCAGGGATGGATGTATTTGTCCAAAATCCACTTCAGAACTTAAGTTTCAAGACATGCTACATTTTCACATAGGTGTGGTTCCTGGGAAGGAGAGGGAAAAGCTTTTCTTTGATCAGTGAATCTATGTTAAAAGCTGGCTGTAGCACAAAGAGTTCTGATTTCAGTGCTTACAGAATTGTCATGCCTGTACTGAAACTGTTTCACACACAAGTGGATTTGGTTTTGCTAAAAAGGGAAAATGTACAGAAATTACGCTAGCTCCATTATTGACAGAGTGCTGCTAATTTTTCAGCAACGTTTAGTCTGGAATTTATGTTGCAGTAATGTTAGAGCTGCCACTCATCATCAGTGAAAGTAATAAGGAAGGAGAGCTCTGACATCTGATTGCCTGGACTGTTTGGTAACGCTTATGACCGTATTCAAAAGTCAGCTGAGATCCAAAAGTCTTATTGTTTTCAGTGGTTACTCCTAGGTTATTCAAAAAGGCTGGAAATCAGCATATGTTCACTAATTATAGTGTCACTTTTTAGCTTTTTAGCTGTTATAACCATTTCATGGAGCAGTGCTTTACATTTATCATCAGTCCTGTTCTCAGCGGCAAAACTGTGTAACAAAGGAGCTGCCGAAAGTATTAGGTATGTAGTTTTTAAAAGAGGAGCTGGATTCTAATCACATCTTTGTGTCCCCAAACTTTGCAACTGTACACCCTTGTGTATAACTGAAAGAATATACAAAAACGATGGAAGAAAAGAGAAAGAACCCTAATATAGGTAAGACTGCTATCTCTAGATCTGGCTGCTGTAAAGGATATCTACTAAGCATGCTTATGGGCAAACTGAAAGCAGCTGGTTCTTCATGTGAATTATAACTACTATTGTTGCTAACCTGGCTATGGGCATGAGAAAACCCATAAAGCTTTCGACAAGATCCTGACAATTTTAAGGACAGATTTTAAGAAAATGTTTAGCTGGACTTTGAGTTTGCAAGTGAAATTTTCTGCATTCTGCAATTTTATGCTTACTGAAATGAGAATTTTTATTAAAATTATATTTACATAATCTTATCAATTCTTCTGAAATGTTTGATTTATACTTGAAAATTTTAGTGTTCACAGATTATTTCCCATGAAAGCTGTGGGCAACATGTGCAAATATAGTGCCAATCTTATAACTGGATACAACTGGATTTAGTTTATTGCAACATACAAATGAGTGAGTTCACTGTGTAATTGAAGAATCAGAAGTCAGGAATACTCTCAATTTTGGGCA